GGATAGGAACGGGCTTTTGTTGATGGTATATTTTCGGGCGTTCACGCTGCGTGACGACGTCGAATGTGGAGTGCCGCGCCTGCGGGGCTCCCGCGGAGCGCAGGGGTCGTGGGCGGAGGCGTCATTGGAGTGGTTAAAGAAAGGCATGCCATGTTAAGAAACAAAGAGGTACGTGCAGAACTACATGGGCGCGGTGGATCTGCGACCAGTCACGGACGAAGACCTGGTCAAACACGAGGACGAGCTGCACAGCGATGGAGAAATGGATCCGAGAATTGTCGACGCGGCGACAAGGCGGAAGACGCATGCGGGAGGTACGTCCATGGAGAAAGAGGACAGGCGGACAAATGTAGATGCGGAGTGCGAAAAGGAGAGGAGCCGGGAGGCCATGGCCAGGGGCGACGCCGTGCGGGGCGTGAGCACTGGTCGGATGAACGGAAAGCGCAAGAAACGCGGAGGGGGCGGTGTGTTGAGGTGGGATGACGCGGAGGTGCAGAAAGCGCAAGCGGTGGCCGCGGCGTCGAGGGCCGCAGAAGGCAGCGGCGCGGGCGGGGAGGAAGGTGCCCCAGGGGTGGTGGCGGCCAAGAAAGCAACAGCGTCAAGTGTGCGGAGATGGAGGGAAGGGCTTGCGGAGAACGGGTTGAACGCGGGACAGCGTAGCGTCGTTGAGAAGGTGGCAGATCGCGTGTTGGCGCAAGAATTCGGGGGGTCCGCGAGCGGCAAGAAAACAGGCCAGAGCGGTTATGATATGCAGCCCTTCGTGTGGATGTTGCTCGGTGGCCCGGGGGCTGGGAAGAGCTTCGTCATGGACAAGATCCGGGAGGAGATGTTCGAAAAAGAGCTGGGGTGGGCGCGCGGCATAGATTTCCAGGCGGCAGCGTTGCAGGCTACAAACGCGTCAGCTCTCGACGGGAATACGATTCACAGTGCATTTGGGCTCGGTGTGAACAAAACGAAAGAGAAGGACGCGGCGGGCGATGCCAACGCAGAGACAAAGAAGAAAACGAAGAAAGAGCAAGCAGCGCAGCGCATGTCACAGTGGAAGTGGCTGATTGTGGACGAGGTGAGCATGGTCAGCGCGAACTTCATTGCAGAGCTAGACTCACACTTGCGGTCGTGCATGTCAGCTGCAAGCGACACGAAGGTAGGTGAAGACGGCGTCACCAGGCCCTTCCGGGGCGTGAATGTGCTGTTCTGCGGGGATTTCTATCAATTGGGGCCGCCATCTGGGACAGCCATTAATGCGCTTCCCACGTCGTATTTGAAAAAAGCGAGGAAATACGCGCCGGGTGCCGCAGAGGACCACGGACAGTATATCTATTGGGGAGCGGGTGGCGATGGTGCAGCGCAGGGAATGACGGAGTTGACGGAGTGCAAGCGCGTGTTTCTTGGAGTGCAGGACGAGTTTCGCCGAGGAAAGTTGTCTGAACGCACGCGCAATTTTTTGCACGGCAGACCGACGGATGTTCCGGGGTCGTGGGTGAACGGGGCACCGGCGCGCGGGAAAGCGCGTTGCGTCGAAGACAGAGATGCAATTGCGATGCGCAACGAGTTAGAGTGCGGGGCTTGCAAAAGTGAGCGGGACAAGAGGAAGCTCGTCGCGACGTCGACAGAAGACGCGCGGTTTCGGGAGGGGAAATTTGTAGAAGCTGTCGCCATTTATGCGAACCAGGACATTCGTTGCCACGTCGGGAAGCAGAGAGCTGTGCAGTGGGCCAAAGAGCGAGGAGAACAGTTGCTCTGGGTTGCAGCCAGGGACCGCCCTTGCCATGGGGGGGAACAGAGGCGGCCGTACACGGTGGAGGACAAGGTACGTGAGTTGGGGTACCACGAGAAGGAGTGTGCAAGCCTGCCCGGGTGGCTGCCACTGGCCAAAGGGATGCCCGTGGCTTTGGGAGATCACTTGGATCGATCAAAGAAGAAGTTCCTGCGGGGGCGTACAGCGACGATCCATGGATGGGTGTTGCACGAGGACGAGGTCACTGAAGATGAAGACGAGGAAGTGTTGTTGCATCTACCGAGAGTGATAGTGTTGAACTTCCATGCGAAGGAGTGGCACCTGCCAGGGTGGGAGCCAGGGCTGCATCCGATCTTCCCATCGAAAGGGCGGCAATGGTTCTTGGACGGGTATCGGAAACATCCAGTGTTGAGTGTGAAGCGCACGCAGTTTATGATAACCCAGTCTTTGGCAGTGACGGCGCACTCTGCGCAGGGCCGGGCCATGGCCGCAGTGATAGCTGACCTTGAAAGAGGGCGCGGCGTGAGTTGGGTGTCCAGTTACGTTGCCATCGCGCGCGTGCGCAGGCGACAGGACCTTCTGATTTTCCGGCCTTTTGACAGGAGACCGCACAACGCAGGTGAGACTGAGGGCGCGAAAAAAACTGCTGCAGGTGCGACGAGGGGAGAGCTTCGATTGGGATGAATGGGAGGCGGAACTAATGCCACGAGACCAGTGCGAGCGCTGCCGGCGGAGGTTGTTGGTAGAGGCGTTCACGAAGTACGAGTTCCAGAGGGAGGACAGACCGGCGTTCCGCAAAGAATGCACGGAGGAGATGAACAACGCAGGTCAAAATGGTGCACAACGTGCAGAGGGTGGGCAATGAGAGCAGAGGGTGACGACGCGGCACGGCAAGGTAGCGGTCGGAACGCGGACGCGGCGCTCGAAAACGTGGAGACGAAAAGGATTAGGACAATGTATTGCGCAAGGTGCAGGGATGTCGAGGCGAAACAGAACTCGCGCACTGGCAGCGCGAAGTGGAACGAGAGTGTTGGAACAGTGCGGTGTTCGAACGATAAGTGCGTGTCGTTGTATGACGACGAGGCGGAGCTGTCGGAATCTCAGAAGAAGCAGAACGCAGCGGGCCAGAGGTTGTGTCGGAAATGTGCGGGGGAACGTCAGAGGGCGACGCTTGCGTCGAATAATAAAAAACGCGTGGTCACATTGCGGTGTTCCAACGGCGACTGCCTGTCGGAGTTCCAAGAGGGGGCGGGGATGTCCGAAGCTCAGAAGAAGCACAATGCTGCGGGCGGAAGACTCTGTCGGAAATGCGCGGAAGAACGAGAGAAAGAGGTACGACGGGGGAATGCGGAGGCAGCGAATCGCAAACGGAATGCCGAGGCGGACGCGAAGGCACTGACGTGCGCGGCGTGCGGAGGAGCGTTCTTAGACACGAGACACTTGAAGCCGACGCAAGTGGAACATCATAGAAAGGCGAAAGGAACCAAAGTGGTGTGCAGAGGCTGCGAGGAACTCGGGTTCAACGCGCGCAGTTACCAAGGGTATCAGTGCACCGGCGCATGCAAGAGGAGACTATCGAAGTCGGCGTTCCCCGACCCGCACAATGTCCCGCGCGACGCAAAGAAGGGCACTCTGAAGTGCAAGACATGCACATGATGCCCAATCGGGCGCGCGTGCTGGGGAGAAAAAGGAGGACGGGGAGAGAAGGATGGGGGGTGAGGCGGAGAATGGGGGGAGAATCATCGAAGAGGATGAGGTGAACCGGGGCAGGAAAAGGAGGAGGGGGACGACGAGGAGGTGGCGGAGGAGGAAGAGGAGGGGGGGGCACTGAGATCAGGCTCTGGGTTATGGAATGTGGGGTAGAGGCTTGTGGTATGTGTATGGGGAAGGAGGATGCAAGGGAGGAGGAGGAGGGGGACACGGAGACAAGGTGCTGGGTCATGGGTTATGAGTTAGAGGCTTCAAGTATGTGTCCAGGGATCTCGCGGCACGCTTCTCGGGGGCTCGAGTGCAGTTTTGAAGCCACTGGGGGGCCGTTTCGGGGCCTCTGGGGGACTTCCACGAAGGCGCTGCAGCGCGTCGGGCAGCGCGCGAATGCTGTGGACAGTGGGGAGGAACAAAGCAGGAGACGGAGACGACGGGGGAGGAGAAGGAGGAGGAGGAGGAGGAGGAGGAGGAAAAGAAGGGGTAGGAGGAAGAGGAGGACGAGGACAAGTGAGGATATTGTCGTGGTTTCTGAGAGGGATATTTCTCGAATGGCCCGAGGCGCGTCCCGCGAATCCCGCTGCCGTGCCGGGGTTGTGAGTCTGAGGCCAGGTGAATATTATTTGGGATCTCGTGGTCGGCCTCTCGGATACCTCAAGTGGTACCGACCAAGTACCACGCGAGGTACGTCGTCCGTGTGCCTCAAATGGTACCGCCCATACTTTGGAGGCCCTTTGGGAGCTATTTTGGGCCTCTTGGGTGCCTCTTTTGGGCCTCTTGGGGCCTGCTTGGGGCCTCTTGGGGGGGGGCTTTTTGGGGGCCTCTTGGGGGGCCTATTGGGGTTTCCTGGGGGCGCCTGGGGGCCGAAACCTCGAAATGCTATTTTTTCCCCCCTCTTGGCCCCCTCTTGGGCCCGTTTTGGGGTCCTCTTGGGGCGTCTTCGGCGCCTCTAGGGCCGTCTTGGGGCCATCTTGGGCCGTCTTGGGGCCATCTTGGGGGCCTTTTGAACCGTTTCGGGGCGGTATTCAGGGCCTCGGGGGCCGTGTTGGAGCGTCGGGAAGCCGAAAAGGCGAAAAGGCAAAAAACACAGTAAAACATAATGGACATTCACCAGTTTTAGCATCTCGGGGCCCTCTTGGGACGCTTATGTGGGACCTCCAGGGCCGTCTTGGAGGCTTCGGGGCCCGACTTGAGGCCATCTTGGGCGTTTTCGAGCGCCCAATTGGCGTCTCGGGGACCTCGTGGCCCGTCTTGGAGGCCACTTGGGGCCTTCTGGGCCCGTTTTGGGGCCCTCTTGGGCCCGAAAAAGCTCCGTGAGTCGCTCGTGCCGGGCCGGGGGGGGGGGGCCATCAGGGGGGGGTCAAATCGCCGGCTTGGGGGTCTCAGGGGGGGACTAGAGGGGGGGGAACTATCTCACACGCCTAGAGACCCACAAGGGGTCGGCGGATTTGAACCTTCTCCACCTAACGCGATTTGGAGGTCCAGGGGATGGGGGACAGGGGGAGGGGAAAGTCAATCATCTCATACGCTTCTGCATCTCCGGCAAGCGGGGGTCGGCGGATTTTTTTGTTATAATTTGCAAATATTGCTGGCCACTCGTGTCCACGGAGTGAATCGACCATTCCATGAGCTCCCGCCTCATACTCCTTAGCCGAACGCGCTCGTGGCTTGCAGCCAGCTTCACGTCTTTCTCCTCGGAGGGGCAAGCTTCCCCCGACCCTGGAATAGTGGATGGTCTGTGTGTGTGTGTGCGGAACTGAGGATGGGGGAGGGGCATTACACATTTTTTGTTGGGGGGATCGGGTGGTGGTGGTGGTGGTGGTGGTGGTGGTGCAATTGAGAAGCACCCGCGTTTAAAGTTTCGACTTTGATCAACATTGTTCGAGAACCCATCTGCGCGCCTCATTCTCTGCGAGACCCCCTCGATTCCTTGTGTCTCGAGGGGCGGGGGCACAGAGGGTGAGGCCCGCAGAGGTTCCAGCACCGCTCCCTTCCCCCACGAGGATTGATCGAGGGTAGCTTGGGCGCCGACCGCGTCTCCACATCTGGGCGGGCAGGTCGCAGATCAGCACTTTTGAATCGACTCTCCTGGGCGCCAGCGTCACCTTAACTGTTGGGATGACAGCGACCAGGAATGCACCATGGACCGTACTTCTCTTGCGAAGGCTTTCAGCCATGGCCGTAGATAAATAGACATCACCCCCCCCTTCCTCGTCCTTTCCCCCCGACCGCATGCACGAAGGGGGGAAATGGGGGCGCCGTGCCTTGCAAGAATTCCCGCCAGTGTTGTTGAATTTCCACTAAGCTCTCCTGCTCTCCTGCTCTCCTGCTCTCCTACTCTCTCCCACCCCCTCCTCCTCCCCTCCCCCTCTCTCCTCCCCTTCCTCTCCAGCCTTCCCCGCCACCCCCTGGAGGCCGAAGGGGGGGCCCTGGAGAGAAGGCGTGCCCTCCCGCCTTCGTCGCTGGCGGTCCTGAGACCCGCCCTCCAGGCTGCTGGCGAGTGATGTGAACGGCACGCGCGTGGAGGGTCGAGGAGGATCGCGGAGGATCGTGCGGAGGAGGAGGAGGAGGAGGAGGAGGAGGAGGAGGAGGAGGAGGAGGAGGAGGAGGAGGAGGAGGAGGAGGAGGGTGATCGAGGGGCTTGGCTCGAGCTCGAGGATTGAGGATCGAGGAGGAGGCCTTGGCTCTAGGACGCGCCCCTCTTTGGGCTCGTGCCTCCTCGGGGGCTGCCTTCCGCTCCCCCGCGAGCCCGGCGCTTGAGCTCCGGCAAGCGTGCTCAGAGCCCGCCTCGTAGCCCCCTCAACGTTTGCCCCAGAGTGTTGAGGGGAAAACCGTCCCCCGTGCTTCTCCTCCGCCCTCCTCCTCCGCCCTCCACCCTCCTCCTCTTTCTCCTCCTCCTCCTCCTCCTCCTCCTGCTCGTCCTCCGCCTCCTCCTCCTCCTCCTCCTCCTCCTCCTCCTCTGCCTTCCTCCTCCTCCTCCGCCCTCCGCCCGATCTCCTGGGGGCTTCGCTCGTCGGTTGTTGGGTCCTCGGTGGAGTGGGGGGCAATTGGAGCAGGGGCCATGCGCGGGCGGCGGAGAGAGGGAGAGCGGCTCCTCGGTTTGCGAGCCCGCCTCAGCTCTGCCACTGTTTTGGCTTGAATGAAGAGTGGGCTCGACGGCTTGGCCTTGGGGCCATGCGGCGCGACCCCGACCCGCTCGACGAAGATGAACTGGCCTGAGTTTCTCTACCTGAGTCAAGCACCTGCCACGGGCCCCTGGCTGGGCTGTCGCCCCCGAGCCAGGGTGTCAAAAAATTCCTCTCCGATGGTGCTTGCCCAGGGCTTTTTCGAGGCCAACCTCCTCTGCCCACCTCCTCCTCCTCCTGATTTCCTGATTTCCTGATGGCATAGGTGTTCTCCGAACGCTGCCGCTTCTCTCACTCCTCCTCCTCCTCCTCCTCCTCCTCCTCCTCCTCCTCCTCCTCCTCCTCCTCCTCTCCTCCTCCTCCTCCTCCTCACTACTCCTCTCCTCCTCCTCCTCTTCCTCCTCCACCCTCCTTCCTCCTCCTTCGCCCTCCGCCCTCCGCCGCCTCCTCCTCCTCCTCCTCCTTCTCCTCCTCCTCATCCTCACTACTTCTCCTCCTCCTACTGCTCCTCCTCCTCCTCCTCCGCCCTCCTCCTCCGCCGCCCTCCGCCCTCCGCCATCCGCCCTTCCAGACATCGTCTGATTGGGAAAGTCCTGTGGAAAGTCCGCCATCCGCCCCCCCCCCTCCTCCTCCTCCTCCTCCTCCTCCTCCTCCTCCTCCTCCTCCTCCTCTCCTCCTCCCTCTCCTCCTCCTCCTCCTCCTCTCCTCCTTCCTTCCTCCCTCCGCCCCCCCCTCCTCCTCGTCCTCCTCCTCCTCCTTCTCCTCCTCCTCCTCCTCCTCCTCCTCCTCCTCCTCTGGGAGAGATCCCTCCCCTGTGCTTTTTCAGGGGAGTAGGGACACCGCGCCTGGCGGTGACAAGTTGAAGGATTGCTTGTTCTTCGCCCGCGGTTGCGGCGGCTGCGGAGCTGCGGCTTTTCAGTTCTTGCTGCCTGCTATGAGTCGCATGTTGTCGAGAGACGCGGCTCTGGCGATCTCGGGCTCCCCAATCATGTGTTATTGGCCGAAAGTTACACGTACACCTACCTACCTACCTATTTACCCACCTACCTACTTACCTAGCTACCGACCGACCGACCGACCGATCTGCCTACCAACGCACCTGCTTATCTATCTACCTACCTACTTACATACCTACATGCATACATACACACATACACACACACCCATACACCTCAGCATATGCATTAATGCATGCATGCATGCACACATGCAAACATACATACATACATACCTACATACATACATACATACATACATACATACATACATACATACATACATACACACATACATACATACATACATACATACATACATACACACACATCCATACACACATACATCCATCCATCCATCCATCCATCCATCCATACATACATGCATACATACATACATACATACATTCATTCACACGTACATACATACATACATCCATCCATCCATCCATACATACATACATACATGCATGCATGAATGCATGCATGCATGCATACATACATACATACATACATACAGACATACACACATACATACATACATACATACATGCATGCATGCATGCATGCATGCATGCATGCATACATACATTCACACATACATACATACATACACACATACATACATACATACATGTACAGACATACATACATACATATATACACATACGTGCCATACATACATCCATACATACATGCATACATACATACATACATACATACGTACATACATACAAACATACATACAAACAGACATGCATACATACATACACACATACATACATACATACATACATACATACATACATACATACATACACACACATACATACATACATACATACACCCATACATACATACATACACACACATACATACATACATACATACATACATACATACATACATACATACATACACACACACATACATACTTACATTCATCCATCCATCCATCCATCCATACACACATACATACGTACACACATACGTAAGTACACAACTTACCCAGGGACGTACCCAACCCTTTGGCAACAGGTGGCATTTTCAACTGGCGCTTTCAAAATAGCTGAACATCCGCTGGACGTCCAAGAGGCCCACGAAAGCGACGACCATTGCATTCTTGGCAATCGCCGCGCTTGAGGGTCAAGCGGTGTACTTCGCTCAACGAAGAATCAGCGCTCCGCGCTCTCGAGGGACAGCGCTGCGCACTGCGCGACAGGACGGCGCCGCGCGACCGATCAGCGAACAGCGCTCTGCGCTCGATCCTGGTGTCCACATACTGCCTGCACCAGGGCCGCGCCTTCTTTACCCCCCTCCGCGCTTTCCCATGCCACGGAGAAACAGCGCCGCGCGCTCGGGCCACAATGACAGCGCCGCGCGCTTCGTGAAGGGGCCGCACCCCGCGCTCGCTTTCGAAATATCGACGCCCTCCTGGGGAATATGTTTGTGGAGCAGCAGTGTGAAGGGAGCGGCGCTGCGAGGATTCGTAGGACTCGTCCTAGGCATCGGATCAGTCGAACGAGCTGCGCACTGGAGCTGCTCGAAGAGGCGGAGCTCGCGGGCGCCAATCGCGCGATGGGCGATGGCTTGGGCCAGTAGCCGAAGCTTGGGAACCGAAAGCTTTAGCTCGGGCCTGTAGCTGTAGCAGGATAATATTATTCTGCTGTTTCGGTCGCACCCAAATCGCCCTGCTCACAGCAACTCCTCTGGACATCGTCGTTGGAAACCTGACCGACATATCCCGATAGCCGGTACTCTTCGCTAGAGTGGCTGTCTTGGGCCGTCCTCGTGGGCAGTCTTCGGGCCCTCTGGGAAGCCTCTTGGGCCGTCTTGGGGCAGTATTGGGTGCCTCTTGAGCCGTCCTGTAGCTCCGGAAAGCTGAAAAGACGGGAAGGCCCAAATCCTTCAAAAACCATCGTAAAATTCGTGGTTTTGGCCTCTCGGGGCCCTCCCATGAAGCCTTTTGGAGGCCTCTTGGAGGGTCTTGGAAGCCTCTTGGGCCGTCTGGGGCCCACCTTGAACGTCCTGGAGCGATCGTTCGGCGTCTCAGGCCCCCCGCAGGGAACCGCGAGGTCCCGACGCGATCCGCGTGTAACCCCACTCCGCTGGGCCCAGGAGCCCACGAAAGGACCGACAGTTGCGCAGTTGGCAGCTCCCCCCGCAGGGAGCCGCGAGGTCCCGACGCGATCCGCGTGTAACCCCACTCCGCTGGGCCTCCCAGGAGCCCACGAAAGTGCCGACAGTTGCGCAGTTCCCGCAGGGAGCCGCAGGTCTCGACGCGATCCGCGTGTAACCCCACTCCGCTGGGCCTCCCAGGGCCCACGAAAGTTCCGACAATTGCGCAGTTCGCAGCTCCCCCCGCAGGGAGCCGCGAGGTCCCGACGCGATCCGCGTGTAACCCCACTCCGCTGGGCCTCCCAGGAGCCCACGAAAGTGCCGACAGTTGCGCAGTTGGCAGCTCCCCCCGCAGGGAGCCGCGAGGTCTCGACGCGATCCGCGTGTAACCCCACTCCGCTGGGCCTCCCAGGAGCCCACGAAAGAGCCGACAGTTGCGCAGTTGGCAGCCCCCCCCGCAGGGAGCCGCGAGGTCCCGACGCGATTCGCCTCGCGGGCAAACATGACCAGTGAAGGGCGCCGCCGCGGGAGCCCCCGATCCCGCGGCGAGTGTTCAGGGGGGTCGCCAGACATGAGCCCCGTCGTGGCCGATGTACGTGGCTCTCATGAGGGGAGGGTCGTCAATCGTGATCTTCTTCCTCTTCTTCACCACCGCCTTCCGAGCCTGCACAGCGGCGAGGGTGGCCAGCCAAAGTCTCGTCGGGGCCAACGCCGCCGGGGAGAGCGAACTCATTGCGAAGACTGGGCTCGCTGCTGCGCCGTCACGCTGAACGAGCTCGACCGAGGGTCCGCTGACCCGCAGCCGCTGGGCCTGCGGGCTAGTGCCGGGCAGGAGCGCAGCTTGGGGATGATCCAGACTGCGGTGGCCGAGCTCGGCCGCCCGCCCGCCGACCTGACGCGCCACGGAGCCCTAGCGGAGCTCCTGGCTAAGCGCAGCTACGCCAGAGAAAAGGTGTCTGTCGCTCGGCTTGACATCTCCTTCTTGTCCT